TTATATATTACTTTGGGGTCTCAGGTTCAGCAGCAATTTGGCTCTACATTTTCATCGTTGGGTCCTGTACATGTACAATGAGTTCTTTCAAAAGCTCAAATAGTGATTTAACATTTTAAGTGTTGACATGCACTTTTCTGTGCTTCAGTAAGTTGTCTCACTTCTTCCTGGTCACTTGGAGCATATATTTTGTTTGTATTTTGTAGCATATATGGGAATTTAGATTTAGAGGTAAATGAGTTATTGGTTTTTGTCCTGTGAATGTGATTTGTCTGTCTTAACAGGTCAGAAAGGCAGATTTGAACAGTGAGTACAGACATAATTTTCAAGAAAGCACGTGAATTAAGCTAAATGACTAAATAAACAACTTGGAGAGTTAACTGAGGAAATGCTTACAAAGTTTAACTTCTACTTGTTATGATCCCAGCTGATGTTGCTACTGGACAAATCAGATTCCAGGCTGAGATCTGACTTGATATTTTTGTTATTATTTAACATGTTGGTCTGTCACTGAAACATAATTATGTAAAGTTTCAGATTTAGTTTTTCACAATTAGAACAGAAGTTTATTGTGCGAAAGAAACTGAGATAAAGTAGAACGAACAAAGCTGTTTTCGTATTACACAATTTGAACGATTTCAAAACACACTGCAGAATAAAATCCCATCTATCCCAACACCATCACTTTACAGTGTTGAAATACCAGAGGGAGTTACCTTCTCTATCACATCTGCAGGTTTAACTTAATTGTTTATTTCAATTGTCTGTCTAGGGCGCTTGGATAGCCTTTTTCTTGAATAAGTTCAGTTGTGTGAATAAGTTTTCACAGCTAAATAATCCTTTCAGGTTCTAACCAAATACTTTGGTGTAGAATTTTCAAACCAAATCCCTTATACTTTTGTAACCTATTTCCTAAATATTCCAAAATACTTCTAAAGCAGAAACTGCGTTTATGTCTAACCCCAGCCAGGCCTTCTGTGAACCGAAATAAAACTTTACAATCTGTGTTTTTTTATAAACAAAAAAAATCTTGACTCTTTTAAACTATGAGCAAGCTAATGCCTTTCAATGCTGCTCTCTCTGATGGTGAACATTCACAACACAAACTTACATTATTGCTAAAGGAGGACTTCCAGTCAGCTACTCTCTGACATGTACTGGTTTAAAATCATGACTCCAGAAAACCTTACAAGTTAATTGTTAAACTCCCTAATACCCAGATAAAAATCCACAAGCCACTAGCTTAAAACCCAAACTCTGTACATACATAACACACCTTATGACACAAATGACACAGAAATATGGACTCAAGATCACAAGCAAGATTCAGCTGAGAAGAACAGTGTCATACCAGGAAAAAAAAGCATAGTTTGAGGCAGTCCAGGTTTCCAGAGCTGGAAAGAAAGCTTAAAAACTATTTTAACAGTTTACACAGACAGGGCTTTTTTAAAGTTCAGTTAGCAAAGAAAAGTTACCGAACTACATGTTTGTTGTACACCTTAGGGAGACACAGTGATAGAAATAGTCAAATCTGGTGAATGTGTAGAAAGTCGCCAAAAGGAACCTGTTTCTAACCTCTCTGTGATGGACACTGGACAAGTCAGATCTCAGAACGAAACCTGATTTGATTGATTATAAATCTTTTATTTTCACAATTTGGTTCTCATGGTAGTCACTTTTAACAAATGAACACAAGAAATAAAGCTATATTATTTATAAGACAATTTAGAAAGCTCTTATCATGGACAGCAAAAACAAAAAATCAAAATGTTTCCGAGCAATATCCTTTACAGGCACTCAAATCTTAAGCCTTTAATTGTAGAGGGGAGCCACTGAAAGAAACCAAGGGAAGTAAACTCTGAATCCCATGCCTCCAAAGATTGGAGAGTCATGAATTGGCCTGTTCAATCATATGAAAATCCACTGAGTAGGCACCATTCTTGAAACGAGGGACAGCCTACATTGTGTTAACGTAACTTTCAAAATGGTTAAAGCAATTATCGGTAAACATATATATTTACAGTGATGAAGTTGTATACATTATAGAAACACAGAAAATAACACCAGGAATAGAGCATTCTGGTCTATGAGCTTGATGCTGTATTTAATATGATCACAGCTGATCATCCAACTAAGTGCATTGTTCCCATTTCTCCCCATACCCTTTGATCTGTACAGCCCTGAGAACTACATCTAACTGCTTCTTGAAAACAGACAAAGTTCTGGCCTCCACTGCTTTTGGTGACAATGAATTCCACAGGCTGTCCACACTCTGGGAAAAGAAATTTCTCCGCATATCAGTGCTGAGTGATCTACCCTGTATTCTTAGAGCGTGACCCATGTTTTTGGAATCCCCGGTCATCCTTCCTGTGTGTACCCTGTCTAGTCTTATTAGAATTTTATATTTCTACGAGAACCCCTCCCCCCACTTCATTCTAGACTCCAGTAAATGTAGTCCTAACTGATCCAGTCTCTTTTCATATGTCAATCTTACCATCCCGGGAATCAGTCTGGTAAACCTTTATTGCGCTCCCTTCATAGCAAGAGTGTCCTTCCTCAGATAAGGAGGCCAAAAGTGCACACAATATTCGAGATGTGGTTTCACTAAGGCGGTGCAGCAAGACATCCCAGCTCCTGCACTCAAATCTTCTTGTTATGAAGGCCAACACGCCATTTTCCTTCTTCCCTGACTGCTACTCCTGCATTCTTGCTTTCAGCGACTGATGTACAAGGACACCCAGGTCTCATTACACCTTTCCCAATCTACCGTCAGTCAGGTAATAATTTGCCTTCCTGCTTTTGCTACCAAAGTGGATAATGTTATATTTATCCACATTATATTATATTTCAGTCTTGACTGCTTTCAATGGTAACAAATTCCACAGGTTCACCTCTCTCTGGGTGAAGAAATTACACCTCACCCACACAAAAATAGAAATTTCTGGGAAAGTTCAGCAGGTCTGGCAGCATCTGTGGGGAGAAAGCATATTCACTAGACCCGAAACGTTAACTCTGCTTTCTCTCCACACGTGCTGCCAGATCAGCTGAGCTTTCCTAGTAATTTCTCTTCTTGTTTCTATTTACAACATCTGCAGTTCTTTCGATTTTTACATAGTTAAATTCTGTTGCCTGTAAAAATTACACTCCATTTCTCTAACTTCTTGATCTCCATTACATCTTTTCTTCAAGACAATCTTCCACTGAAATACTTTCAAGAATGTACTTCATTCAGCATGTATTGCATTCAATGGATCATCATTCACCATCTCCAGTAAGATGTCAACTCCAAATGCATCAACTCATTTCTTTATTGAATTCCAGAGAAAACATTCTCTCTGCAATATCCTAGTCCACTCTTCTATCACTCCAATATGATCTCTCCAAAACAAGGGTTCAAGAGATACAATACTAGCTCATTTACCTCCTCCCTTTCCATCAACTGGGATCCTAAACACTCCTTCCAATAGAAAAGGATTTATTTGTATTTCATTCAATTTAATCTACTAATGTATTTGCTGCTCACAGCATAGCATCCTCTATGTGAGGGTACACCTCAGTTCAGTTAACAACACTGGCACTGAATTTTCAGTTCATTACCATTTCCTCTTGCCTTGCATTGATACTCCTTACATCAATTAAATTATCTGTTAAAATCTCTGTAAAATATCAATATCAATAACATTTTGAGAGAGATAAATTTCCCAACCACCAATGGAAATGACCAAAAGAGAAGACTTCACATTTTAAGACATTTACCAAACAAAGTAGAATTACCATAGTTTAAACTATTAAGCTGGAGAGGGTTCAGAAAAGATTTACCAGGATGTTACTGGGAATGGAGAGTTTGAGTTATAATGAGAGGCTGGAATAGATGGAACTTTTTTCACTGGACCGTAGGAGGTTGAAGGGTGACCTTATATAAGTTTAGAAAATCATGAGGAGTATAGATAAGGTGAGCAGCAGATGTCTTTTCACTAGGGTGGGGGATTTCAAGATTAGGGGACATATTTTTAAGGTGAGAGGAGAAAAGTTTAAAAAAGATACTTTTTTTTACATAGAAGGTGGTTCGTGTGTAGAATGAACTTCCAGAGGAAGTGGTGAATGCAGGTACAGTTACAATGTTTAAAAGACTTTTAGATAAATACATGAATAAGAAATGTTTGGAGGGATATGGGCTGAGTGCAGGCAGGTGGGACCAGTTTATTTTGGGATTACGGTTGGCATGGACTGGTCGGACCGAAGGCTCCAATTCGGTGTTCCATGCTTCAATGACTCTTTCTTAACAGACAAGTAATACACTTGGCGAAAAAAAAGGCAACTTTGCTTTAACCAATGCAATCAAGTTACATCTAATATCAACCTTTGCATTTCTTGCATATAAGTTACAGGATTAGTTAATTAATTAAAGGAATGGTTCCTCTGTAATGCCCCACTCTCCAGCAGGCTCACTATTCCCTAGCAAATTATGTTGAAACTTGCAATGTCTTTCAAAAGTCATTCCACTCAGTCTAAATGATCTATATATAATTTTTTACCTAAAATAAAACAAAGAACTGTGAATGCTGGTGATCTGAAGCAAAACAAAAATTGCTGGAGAAACTCAGTAGGTCTGGCAGCATCTGTGGGGAGAAAGCAGAGTTAATGTTTCAAATCCAGTGACTCTTTCCTGAACTTGACGCATTAACTCTGCAGGAAGGGCCCCAATGTCAGAATCACTACAGTATATTTCTGCCCATTAACGCTGAATCTTTTTCAATATATGCTGCTGATCTGCTGCATACTTCCAGCATTTGTTGCTTACATGTCAGAATTCCAGCATCCGCATTGTTTAAAGTTTAATACCATGAGTTTTATTATTAAAGTTGAGATACAGCTCCACGTCCATCGGTAGCTTTCGCATTTGCAAATTCGATGAATTATTACCAATTACTTCCTAAAATATTTATGTTGTGCTAAACGTCACATAAATAATATATCAAAGCAGCATCACATCACCTTACCTGTCATTTGCTGTTTTAGATTATTAGGAAGATTATTCAATTTGTGACGCAGGTTACTGGCTTCAATCGTTTCCACTTCCAGTGCTTCACGAATGTTCCTTCTAACTTCTTCCTAAAAAATGTCACCGTACACCAATTATATATTTTAATATTTGAATAAAGCTTGTAATGGTAGAGTTTAAAGTTACAGTGCACATCATTGTTTCATATTTTAAACCAAATAAAATATACTACTTTTCCATGTAGAGTTAGTTTTCTGTTCTGGATGTTGTGTCCTACACAGTAAGAGGCAATTAAAGATGTTTCCACCTAAGGCAATGTCAGTATGAGCTTAGATGTCATGAGCCTGCATTTCAGGTGCAGAGCTTTTATACACAGGTATTTGGAATTTGGGAATGGAGGCCAGGCACCTCACGGGATACTGTATGGATTAGTACAGTTCCAGAATGAAATGTCAGCTAAACCTGAGGGCCATACCTGAACATCAGTCATCTTATAGAGTCAAAGTGTCATACAGCATTGAAACAGACCCTTTGGTCCAACCAGTCCATGCCAAACATAATCCCAAACTAAACTAGTCCCAACTGCCTGCTCCTGGCCCATATCCCTCCAAACCTTTCCTATTCATATATCTATTTAAATGTCCTTTAAATGTTGTAATTGTTCCTGCATCCACCACTTTCTCAGGAAGTTCATTCCACATGTGAACTACCCTCTGTGTAAAAAATTTGCCTCATGTCTTTTTTAAATCTCTCTCCTCTCACCTTAAAAATGGGCCCCCTAGTCTTGAAATCCACCATGGTAGGGAAAAGACAACTAACCATTAACTCTGTCTATACATCTCATTCTGTTATAAACTGCTATAAGGTCATCTCTCAACCTCCTATGCTCCAGTGAAAAAAAAGTCCTAGCCTCTCCAGCCTTTCTTTATAATTCAAACCTTCCACACCCAGCAACATCCTGGTAAATCTCTTCTGAACTCTCTCCAGCTTGACAATAATCTTCCTATAACTGGGCAATCAGAACTGGACACAGTATTCCAGAAGAGGCCTCACCAATGTTCTGTACAAACGCAACATGACTTCCCAACTTCGACACTCGAAGGACTGAGCAATGAAGGCAAGCGTGCTAAACCCTATTTTAACCACGCTGTCTATATGTGACGCAAACTTCAAAGAATCATGTGCCTGCACCCATAGGTTCTTCTGTTCTACAACACTACCCAAGACCCTACCATTAACTGTATAAGCCCTACCCTTGTTTGCTGTACCAAAGTGCAATACCTCGCATTTATCCAGATTGAACTCCATCTGCCATTTTTCAGCCCATTGACCCATTTGATCAAGATCCTGTTGTAATCTTAGAAAACAGTGGCACTGTCTACTATGCCACCAATTTTGGTGTCATCCGCAAACTTACTAACCATGCCTTCTATATTCTGATCCAAATCATTTATGTAAATTACCCTATGCTGAGAGGTCTTGCATAAAATTGAAGAAGTCTTTGCTTCATATTAACACAAAATAACATACTGCTATCACTATGGAATTACATGTGAGACTAGGGCAGCACGGTGGTTCAGTGGCTAGCATTGCTGCACAGGGAACCAGGTTCGATTCCAGCCTCAGGCAACTGTGTGGAGTTTGCACATTCTCCCCATGTCTGCATGGATTTCCTCTGGATGCTCTGGTTTCCTCCAAAATTGTACAGGTTAGGTAGATTTGCAATGCGAAGTTGCTCATAGTGTCCAGGGATGTGCAGGCTAGGTGGATTAGCCATGGGAAAATGCAGGATTACAGGGATAGGGTGGGGGGGTGGGTCTGGGTGGATGCTCTTTGGTGTGGACTTGATAGGCTGAAGGGCTTGCTTCCTGATTGTAGGGATTCTATGATTCTATTATATTTGTGAGATTACAAAATCAGTTCCAAATACAGAGCATTCTGCATCAGGAATGAATATCATGTAGGTGAGTAGGCTCTGCAGGATCTTCTGCCTATCAATTTTAATTGATGGAAATTCCAGCGCGGTGCAGTGACCTCGACATGCAAACTTTTATGATACAGTATACACAACTGACTGTCACAGCTCCTACATTGCAAGTGAAACTACACTTTAAAGATAATTTGGGAAAATACTGTAAACCATCATGTCATCCTTGAAATACTTGTTTCATATCTCACCCATCTCCTGTGGTTCCAAGGTGACAGCCTTGTTGAATTGTAAGGGGTCTTATTATCTCCCTCATTACTCTTTTGCTCTTAATGCAGTTGTAGAATCTCTTTGCCCTCCTGATTTTGTCTCGAGTATACTCCTACCATCCTCATATTCCTAGAGGGATTTACTTGATCCCAGCTGTCTGTCCCTGCCATATGCCTCATTCTTTATCTTGACCAGAACCTTAATTTCTCTAATCATCCACCAGCCCTGCCCTTCAAACTAACAGGAACATACTGCCTCTGGACTCTTGTTGTCTCACTTTTGAAGGTCTCCCGCTTTCCAACCATCCCATTACCTGCGAGTAGCCTCTCCCAATCAACGTTTTAAAGTTCTTACCTAATAACATTGGCCTTACTCCAATTTAGAACTTTAACTTTTAGATCAGGTTTATCCTTTTCTAGAACTATTTTAAAACTCAGAATTATCACTGGCCCCAAAATGCTTCCTCACTGACACCTCAGTCTCTTGCCCTGACTTATTTCCCAAGAAAAAGTCAAGTTTTGCTTCTTCTCTAGTAGGTACATCCACATGTTGAATAAAAAAAAATTCCTGTACACGCTTAAATTCATCTCCATCCAAGCCCTTAATACCATGGCAGTCTGAGTCTACGTTCAGAAAATTACAATTCCCTACCATTACAACCCTATTATTCTCACAGATAACTGAGATCTCCTTACAAACTTGCTTCTCAATTTCCCACTGACTATTGGGGGCCTATAGTACAATCCCAATAAGGTGATCATCCCTTTCTTATTTCTCAGTTCCACCCAAATAACTTCATTGGACATACTCCCAGAAATACAGCTGTAATGTTATCGCCAACTAAAAACTTTCCTTCCTCTCTTGCTCCCCTTTCTATCCTTCCTATGGCATCTATACCTTAGAACATTAAACTGCCAGTCTTGTCCTTCCCTGAGCCACATTTCTGTAATAGCTATGATATCCCAGTCCCACATTCCCAACCATGCCCTGAATTCATCTGTCTTACCTGTCAGGCCTCTTGCAATGAAATAAATTCAGTTTAATTTATCAGTCTTACCTCATTCTCTGCCTTGCTCTTGCCTACCTTGACTATTTGACTTGTTTCTCTTTTCAACTGCACTTAGATTGCTCTCTTTGGGTCCCCTCTCTTACTAGTTTAAAGCCTCCTGAGGAGCAGTAGCAAATTTTTCCATCAGGATATTGGTCCCCTTCCAATTCAGGTGCAACCAGTCCTTCTTATACAGATCACTTCTACCCCAGAAGAGCTTCCTATGATCCAAAAATGCAAATTCCTGCTCCCTGCACCAGCTTCCCAGCCACCCACATCAACTCTAACCTCAATTCCTAATCTCACCAGCATGTGGCACCAGGAGTAATCTAGATATTACTACCCTACTACTTTTTAACCTTCCGCCTAATTTTTTATATTCTATCTTCAGAACCCCGTCCCTTTTTCTTCCTATATTGTTGGTACCAAAACGTACAACGACCTCCTGCTGGTCACTCTTCACTTTGAGAATATTCTGCACCGTCCCTGGGGCATCATTGACCCTGGCACCAGGGAGGCAACAGACCAATCTGATGTCCCACTGTCGGTCGCAGAAACATCTATATGTGCCCCTGACCTCAGAATCCCCTATCACCACTGATTGTCTGGAACTTGACATACTCCTCATTACAGTAGAGCCAGTCTTGGTACCAGTAGCCTGGCTGTCAGTGTTCCATTCTCCTGAGAGTCCGCAACCCCTGACATTTTCCAAAATAGCATACTTGATTGAGATGGTTATAGCCACAGGAGAATCCTGCACAACCTGTCTACCTCTCCTACCTTTCCTGGAGGTAACCCATCTATCTGACCATATCTGTGGTTTTTCCCACCTTCCTGAAACTGACACCCATCACACCCCTGGTTCCTGTAAATTCCTCATTGCCTCTAACTTCCGCTCCAATCAATCCATGACTGTGAAGAAGGATATGGACGCCAGAGAACCTAGGGAAATAAATAGTGATATCTCAAAAATTGCCCATATTACGGGTGAGGACATTCATCCTATGGACCATCACTGAACAGCAAGCTGTTGTTCCTAAGACAGTCATTGACCTCATGTCCTCTGGAGTTATCTCAATTCCCCAACATTAGAAAGCCCGCTTCTACTTCCTTCCCAAAATCCACAAACAGGACAGGAGCAGACAGACCCTCATTTCATCCTCTTCCTGCCCAGTTGAATGTATTTCTTTCTATCTTGACTAATTTTTTTATCCCCTCGTGCACTCTCTTCCCACTTTCATTCACTATTTTCTGATGCTTTTCATTGGGTCCACAATCTCCAGGTCCCTGGCCATAGCTGCCTTCTCGTCAACATGGATGCGCAATGCCTCTACATGTTCATTCCCCATCAGAATGGTCTGAAGGCACTCTGTTCCCACCCACCACCATCCTGCTTTGCCTGAATGAGCTTATTCTCACTTTGAACAATTCTACCTTGAATTCATCTTACTTTCCATAATTGTCAAATGTGTGGCTATAGGTATTCACATGGGTCCTCAATATGCCTGCCTCTTTGTGGAGGATGCGGAACATCCTGGTCACCTCTCTCAGCTCTTTCTCTGATAAATCAATGACATAATTGGTGCTGCTTCTTGCTCTTGTCCGGAACTGGAGAAAGTAATCTATTTTGCCTCAATTTCCATCCTTTTCTTGCCTTCACATGGTCCACCTCTGAAATTTCCCTTCTCTCTCTTGACTTTTCTGTTTTCATTTCTGGGGATAGACTATCCTCTAATGTACAAACCCACCGACTCTAAGGTTACCTTGATTACACTTTCTCATGTTCTACTTCTGGTAAAGATTCCATTCTCCTAGTTACTCCACCTCAATTCTTACATGTCCTCCTTTATCATCAACAAAAAATT